CACACCGCACACAGAACAAAAGAGTTTTTAGAGCAAGAAAACATATAATTATTAGACCATCCGCCGTACATCCCCGACCTTAAGCCCTAATGATTTCTATACTTCCACTAAAATAAAGAATAAATTGCGTGGAAAGAGATTTTCATCACCTGAAGAAGCTGTGGACACCTACAAAACGGTCATTTTGGAGACCCCAACTTCCGAATGGAATGGTTGCTTCAATGATTGGTTCCATCGTATGGAAAAATGTGTCAAATTTCGCGGAGAATACTTCGAAAAGCATTAAATACATTTTTAAATAGTAATGTTGTGTCACTTCCTTGATTCCCGAAATTTTCAGTGCCGCCCTCGTATAATGACATGATATATAACGACATATGCTCCAATTAACAAACAATTTATTTAAAAACTATATATGAAAGCGAGACATATAATATAATTATGTCCTTAAATAATAGTAAATCGAGTGGCTATGATAATATTATTACGAAGGTACTCAAATCTAGCTATATAAGTCGACCCCTTATGCATTTTATAAACTGGGGCTATCTTCCGTGACGATTAAAAATTTTCGATATAATTTTTTTTATAGAATAACTGCCTCGCTGGTCTAGTGGTTGTAGTAGTTCCAAAAAATCAATTATTGAGTTTTTCTGTTAAGAAATTCTCAGTAGCTGCCCGGAGTCAGGAAGTTGGCGATGTCTCAGCCCGTGCCTCGGAAAGCACGTAAAGCCGTTGGTCCTGCGCCTGATCACTCTTCGGTCGTGTCGGTTTACCGTCCTATCGGATTATGAGAGTGAGAGAATAAAGTGTGCACCTATGCTTATGCGCATACACTTGGGCACTATAACCCTGTCCTGCGCCGATGGCTAGCCTCCGTTGAGGCAGGCTGCCGTGGCCGAAATTCGGTCTGGAGGACATTATTATTATAGAATAAGAGTGACAAACGAGCACACAGTCCACCAGATGGTAAGTAGACGCTGTGGCCAATAGACATCTACATTTATCCTCGGGTAAGAACTCGTTGTCCTCCCTGATGACTAAGATGGAATGCCTCGTTTCCAGTAAAAATGGTTTTCGGGATCTCTACACTCATCATAAAAGACTATATATGAGTATTCTGTAGGAGCATGATCCTTCCCCGGTCGAACCGACTGATTCGTGCTACAATATATAACTACAGAGTGGCTCTAACACGTATAAAGTGAAGACGGAAGAAGGGTGTTAAAAGAGATCTTGGTAATTATAGACCAATTACTCTACGATCTAAATACATCAACAGAGGGATACCTTAAGGCCGTTTTCTCACTACGCGAAACCAACACAACATAATGTTGTGACAACTCCAACCGCCATACTAATGTATGCGCCGTTTTCTCACACACGGGGACAACACAACACCAATACAACTTTGAACCAACAATTCTAAACTATGTTGTCTTGTCCGCTAGATCGGATCAACTTTTTTGTTGTGACAACACTGTGACAACATAGCCGCCTTGCAAACTCTATAGGGACTTTTTCACTGCAGGCAACACGACACCAACACAACATTCCTTGCAAGTGCGCGCCCTCCTCGAACATTTTCGCGCGTGTCTAGAAATTGTTTTTTTTTTTTTTTATTTAACCTAATTAATAATAAAAAAACGGACGTAATATGGCACGCAATATGGCATCATTTATATGGTGAAGTATATAATCAAATGTTGCTATAGACATGCGAAAGTAGTTGAAAAATTTATTTTCGTGCTCCCGTAGCTTATCAAAGAGCACGTAAAATGCTCCATAAACATATCTCTCACGTAGTAAAGGGTGAATCCAACAATTCTTTCTCCGCCTTCTTCTTCTTAAGTATAGTAAAATAGCTAGCAGTTGTCGTTGATTGAAGGCAAGACACATAATTGCGTGCGTACTCGACAAATGAATACAAAATGTGACAGTCGTGTTGTGTTGGAGTCGTGCTAGTGAAAAAGGGATGGACAACTCGACATCAACACATCTTTTGATGTTGTGTTGATGTCGTGTTGGTTTGCCGTAGTAGAAAACGGCCTAATCCTTAATTATTTACGACTTTATAGTTTAAAATCTTCCTAGTCTTCATAAAAATTTTACATACAGATTGAAATCTCTTTTATTCTATTTTCGAACTTTAAAAATTAAATTAGAAAAAGAAACAAAATACGGCGACAAAATTGTTAGTAATTTATTACGTGAAGGAAAATTAAAATTGTTCTACTGATATGTATTAATGTAAAGGGATTAGATAATTTATCTTTTTTAATTTAACGTACCGTGTGAGCTTTAAGGGTCATGTCACGTCGTCATTTGAGTCGAGATGAAATGTTGAGAGCCGTGGACACGTTAGTTAGACAATGGTTCTATTCAACGCGTCGTTGCTGAGGCCATACACACCAGCCAAAACGTTAAAATATACATACATACATACGTACAACACGTAAGAAATTCCGCGCGCTAGTCCAAGTCAAACAAACTAACGAAGTTTGACAACGCTTTTTCTTATTTCAACCTATGGGTGCATGTAGGTCAAGACTAGGACGGCAGCTATGGAGCAGCGACCAATACGACTTGGGGACCTTCAAGAAACGAGCGTACCTTTTTAAAAGGTCGGCAACGAATCTGCAATTCTCCTGTTGTATTTAAAGGACTGACTTTGTACTGTGACAAACTTTCACCCCGAACAGCCCAGCCGATTTCATTGTTGGTATGAGTACAGTATCACTTATTGTTTCACCTCCTTCAAAATTGTATATGATTAAATCGGCATCCTGTATAATATTTTTTACTAATAACACCAATCGATAAACGTTGTCAATCACTAACTAATTTCGTAAATAAATAATGACGTTACTAGATAACAGAGGGCGCTACTACAATAATGATAAATATTCTAGAACATTTTTTTTTATATAGAAGAGAGGCCAAAAGAGCATGCGGCTCATCTGATAGTAAGTGACTACCGCCGCCCATGAACAACCACAACACCAGAGGAATTGCAGGTGCGTTGCCGGCTTTTTAAAAAGGATTAAGCTCTTTTCTTGAAGGACCCTAAGTCGTATCGGTCCGGTAACATCGCCGGTGGTAAACAATTCCACAGAGAAGTTGTACGAGGAAGAAGACTCCTAGTAAAATACACAGTGGTGGACCGCCAAGTATCTAGATTCATGTTCATGAAATTTGGCGGCTGGGATTAATCCAAACAATTCCTGAGAGCACTCCCCGTGGTAGATGCGTAGATGCTCTAAGCGCCAGTGAATCGAGCCAATCAGAAAGAACTCGGTCGTCGACGATTCGAATCGCTCTGCGCTGGATGCGGTCAAGTGGAAGGAGCTGGCACGGGGATGCCTCGGCTTCTACCACAAATAATAAAATTTAAAAATTATTGGGTAAATATACATAGTACTTGGGATAATAAACCAAAATCACATTCATTTTTACTCCATATCGGGACTTACAATACCATAATGCACAATCGGGCATATTTTTTTTAAAAAATATTTTTTAAATATAGGAAACGAATGCGTCTTGACCTATTGACGATGTGACTAAGACTAAATGACATAAATCCGAAATATGTTCTATAGGACAAAAGTAGCAGATGACCATTTTATTCCTGATGTCCGGTCTATTACTACTGCTACTTATATGTCTTTGACATTAACAGTAGTTTATTAGTATTTGAAGATATTATGTTTAATGTTTGCCAAACAAAATTTCGTATTTCTTACATATTATAATATAACAAGGTAACAACTTCATTCCACTTATGATTTTTTCAAAGTTTTATATACCTATTGTATATATAACCTTGAAAAAGGCTGGTAATAATACTGTTGATTCCCCCAGATTTATCTATATCCCAACGATGGGGTGAAGAATGAACCCAACATAAGGCGATTGTTGAGTCGGATAAGGCAAATAATTTATCGATATGAATACGACCATGCACAATGACAAGCAACAACTGTGATAAGCTTGGCAAGAACCAAAATGGCGCAAAGCTTGAGGCGTGCGAGAGAGACAAACTTACGTGGGGAAACCTTTGATTTAGAGCTAATAAGGCTGACCGAATTCTCACCATCATTTTGGACGTGAAAATATACAACGCTCACGTAATCTTTCTCGGTAGCGTCTGCAAAACTACGACAGTAACGACGCTATCCTTACATACGATGTAAGGATAGCGTCGTCGATTACGATATTTACATGACGTGGTATTTTAATTTGACTTCGTAAAGAGAGTTCCTCCCTAAAGCGTAGCCACGAACGAACAATGTTATCAAGCGGTGTGTCATCTCAATCACATTCACACAACCAAAGTTATTTGATTAAAAGCTTAGCATACAATGTCACAGGTGCTACAATTCCCATGACATCCGATAATCAAGCAAGACATAACGATATCGTGCGCTTTGCGCAGGTCTCAGCGAGCATTTTTACCTTAGGACTGAACACATCTGAAGTGACCAATACAAACCGCAATACTCCAAAACTGTTAATCATAACTACCTACTAACCCAATTAGTGTTTTTTATAGCATTGGCTAACAAACGAGCGCACAGTCCACCTGGTGGTAAGTGGATGTTGTGGCCCAGACATCCACATTTATCCTCAATTAAGAATCAAAGCACAGATGCGTTGCCACCCTTGAGGACTAAGTTGGAATGCCTCATTTCCAGTAAAAAGGGTCTCCAGTGTTCTCTACACTCAACATACGAAACAGAGCAGCATTATTTTACGCTGATATTCTGTGAGAGCGTGGTCCTGCCCCGCTCGAGCCGATCCATTCGTGCTTCAACTATGATATAGCTGCAACGTGAAAAGCTGCACAAACATTAGATTGGGATGGAATTATAACCAAAGATCCTTGAGTCATCATTCAGGTACTTTGACCACTGGGTCATGTGTTTACTAATTAGAATACTGTTAATTGTATTTGTTATATAAACGGTAAACAATTATGAATGTATATTTACACTCACCCATAGTTAAAGTAGCAAGCACAATCATCTTTGGTAAATATTTGTTGACTGTTTGTGGGGACACCAACAACTTTCTTGCTCCTTTCTTTGCATGAAGTCTTATCCTCCAAAGGCCAATTTTCCTCATCTTCATGCTGTTGGTTGTAAGATTTTCCGTCATATATAACAAACTCCATATAAATTACGTGTTACTTTGTTAACTGTGCAGTCCAACTACAATGACTGCCTCGTTAGTCTAGTGATCGTTAAGACGGTTGCTGTTTTTTTTATAAGAGAGGGGGCAAATGAGCATACGGCTCACCTGATGGTAAGTGATTATCGCCGCCCATGAACAAATGCAACACCAGGGGAGTTGCAGATGCGTTGCCGGCCTTTTAAAAAGGAGTAGGCTCTTTGCTTGAAGGTCCCTAAGTCGTATCGGTATGGAAAAATCTCTGGTGGTACGAGTAGTCGATTCTACAAGGAAGTTGTGCGAGGAAGAAAACTTCTTTTAAATCGCACAGTGGTGGACCGTCAGTCATCCAGATGGTATGGACGGTATGGCGAGTTTTGTCGCGATGTGCGATGGTGAAATTGTGCGGCTAGAATTAGTCCAAATAATTTATCAGAGCACTCCTCTCAGATGCCTATAAATCTTAATACCAAGTCAGGCCAAAATTAGTTATTGGGTTTTTGTGTCAAGAAATTTTCAGTAGCAGCCCGGGATCAGGAAGTTGAGTAAAAGAACCAGTGCGCGTTGTCAGTGATGTCTTATGGAACTGAGACGTGCTCCTTCACTGCCGGCCGTATGAGGACGCTCAAGGTCGCTCAGCAAGCTATGGAGAGGGCTATACTCGAAATGGCCCCACTAGATGGATTGACGACCTGGTAACACGTGCAGAAAGTCAATGGATGCAGGCGGCTCAGGACCGTGCTTTGTGGCATTCCTTGGGGAATGCCTATGTTCAGCAGTGGACTTGTGAAGAGCCGTAATGATGATGATGATCATGACCTTCATCTGTTTGTGATAAATAAAATAAAATTTAAGATTAATACAAAAATCAATGTTCAACCCCACCCCCAGTATTAGGAGGAAAGGCAAAGAAATTGGCAGAGAATACAGTACTAATTAATTATGACCTTTTGCATTTCAGTTCAATGTTCGGCCAAATCCGAGTCACCTCAAATGACCTATGAAGCTAGCTGAGACAAACCATTTAATAAAAATTACTACAGGTAAATTTGATCGGCATACCACACCACTTATTGATTGCCTTGTGAGCCAAGTCCAGATATTTTGTTTATTTGTTCAGATTTCACTACATTCTCATCATATAAAAAGCCAAAAATATCCCTGAATGTGTTCAATATACAGTAATATCTACACTATACCAGGCTTATTTGTAAGAATAGTCATGATGGCACAGTCCCAACCCTAATAATCATAATCAGTCTATTTACAGTATTGCATCCAGGAAGTTCATTAAGGTAGTTTTTAAACTATGAATCCATACTTCAGAGCGAGCCCCTGCTGTACATTGTTGCTACTAGGTTATGGTCCAGAATTATTTATAATAATTAATATAATTATTTTAAACCAACTAAATTTTGAGATACTACTAAAGTAACCAAATTAGTTGTAATGGTATTAACTATCCAATTCTTTAGTGGTAGCTCAGAGACTAAACACTCACAGTAAATTTCATGGTATGCGAGCAAACCAAGTTCTTAAATTTAAAAAAATAATGATTCGGATAATAATCATGCGTAGTTAACTCATTAAACCAACTTATTATTCACCAGATGGTACAACTCATTCTCTGCCTAAGAGTATGATCTCCACACCCATCTTGGCTGGGCTGAAGTTGGCTTTCCGAGACATTCGCGCATGTACATACACTACATGATAGATTTGTGCCACTTCATATCTGTTCTTAATATTGTTCAGTGAAACATTTATTTTTGTCTAAATCAATTACAGAATAAATTGAAAATTATTATTATAATAAAAATATCTTTATGTCTTTCAATAAAACAATAGTATCTAATAAATAATTATAATAAGCAGTTTGAATATTTAATAAGTACACATTAGCAAGGACAACAAATACTTTCAGTAACCACAAAATAATATTACTTTAAATATTTCAATAAAATCTTAATTTTATATAATGCAAATCATCATGCATGCACATCATGTTGCATTTACACAATAATGAACCATAAAAAATATAATTGAATTACAATGAATAATAAAGGAAATCGATTATTTAACGATGTAACTGTATTCACATCTCTAGTTTTAGTTACCGCCTACCATCCCTCTCTTCTTGTCACCATTCTGTTCCTAAAAATGATATCTGTGGAGCCACTCACACCTAACTTTAACCAGGCAAATATAGAATGTACGAACTTTACGTGAGAGCATGTTCTAAACCATTACCCATATTGTTGCCGCCAAATACATAGCAGTGCTTACACTCCTATGTTCTAGAGTGAAGGATAAACACGGCTAGTAATATAGCAAATATAGAATGTACGAACTTTACGTGGGAGCATGTTCTAAACCGTTACCCATATTGTTGCCGCCAAATAGCAGTGCTTACACTCCTATGTTCTAGAGTGAAGGATAAACACGGCTAGTAATATAGCAAATATAGAATGTACGAACTTTACGTGGGAGCATGTTCTAAACCGTTACCCATATTGTTGCCGCCAAATAGCAGTGCTTACACTCCTATGTTCTAGAGTGAAGGATAAACACAGCTAGTAATCACAGGCTATGAGGTATTCCATCTTAGTTCTCAGAGGTGACAATGCATTGATAGCCTTCCTCGTTTGAAGTTATGTACAGGTGTCCTTGGCCTATTAAATTCAGTTGAAATTAAATTTCATTGCCAGTTCAGTTTCATAATTTTTTTTATTTCTGTCTAATTTTAGTAATAGGTAAGCAAACAGTGATTTTAATTTATTATTGTTTTGTAATTATTGACATTACTGCCAGAATTTCATTCACAATATAAATTATTGTCATTAACGATCCGATGGCTTGTTTATCAACCAGCAAATACTAATTACTAATTACCTACTACTAGAAAATAAAATAATACAAACGGCCGGGATCCCAACAATTTGTCTTGGGTCCGAAAATCCTGGGACTGTACTTGGCTAATATCGCGATTTTCAGGATTGCCACAAACAGGTCTAGTTTGCATTCCGTAGTCTATTGCACCTTGACAAAAATCTTGCTTAAATTATATTAATAGCATTTATTACATGACAACAAAAAACAACCCTAAGATATGCGGCATAGAACTTAGAAGCGACTTCCCCACTTGGAATACTTCAATATACTACTCTTAAGGTAAATCCCAAACCGGGCTATTGCCCGCTAAGCACGTAAAGCCGTTGGTCCTGCGCCTAATAGGGAAAGCGCCCAATCACCTCATATCATAATATTGTTACAAGTATTTCCCGTCGGGGTTCCCCGTATGAAAGTATAAATAGGCTAATCAGGTTTTATTTTTTTCAATTATTATTCAGTCAGTGATGAGGTTTAACTTTTTAAGTCTATTATCTGAAATTAGTTGTTTAAAATGGCAGGAGACTTTCTTAAATATAAAAAAGACAGTATCAGTCATCATCATACAACATCAGTGTGGACTTATCTTTTAGTTGCGTAGGACAGGAATAGTGAAAAATGTAAGCACAGCGCACTCTCAAGACTTTGGGTGGATCAACTAAGGGATTACATTCACATTCGTCATCAAAATTGACTTGTTGAAACTGATATAACCTTGAACATTATCAGCTTCAAGAAGTCAAGATTCAGAAAATCTGAACACAGTATCACTGCCAGCCAAGCAAAAGCTAGATGATTATGTTACTTAATTAATATTTGCACTGAACAACAATTGTGTCTGGCACATGGTGTCAACTCGGTCATCTGTGATATGTTTTATGAAAAACATAACTATTTGCATATTTAATAGCCGAGATGCCATGGAAAAAGAAAGAAGGTCAAGATCACAAACAGATGATGAGACAGAAACCTCCCAACCCCAATTGATATTAAAAGCAGAGTAACAGCTGGAAATTGATAAGATTATGAAAGCCCCATATTCTGAAGAACAAGCACAAAATGGATAAGGGATGGCAAATAATATTAGATGTGAAAAGAGCTTGTTCGAAAATGGAGGAGTTTGTGAATATCACTTAGAAACAGCATTAAAATATCTATTATCTATCCCTTCTATCAGCATAGCACCTGAGCAATCAATTTCAGCTACTGCTCATGTTGGCCATAAACTATGAAGCAGGCTCGGAAGTCAAACATTGGATGCTTTGATATTTCTGCAATTGTATTTTCAATATTATAAATAGTTTTTTTGTGTTGTCTTTTTGATTTCTTGCAAAAATATTGTTTTCTTTTTGTTTTGTCAATTTTCTTTTCTTTTCTAACTATACTGTGATTTGCACTGTGCAACGATATTATAAAATTTTTAAAGAAATTACTCAAGTTTTTGTCATTTGAGCCCAATTAGAAACTACATAGTCTCATCGCGGGATCCCTGGATTACAAGATTTTTTATGTGTTGCATTGAAAAACATGCTTGGGATTGTATTCTCTACCTACTACATACTACGCTTTTTATTACAGGAGTTGACTACATACAATTTAATTTTTTGTACTCAAAATACATAAACAAAACTAAGAATTTAAATAATTATAATAAACACTACACTTTTGATGTTTGTTGTATCTATCTGATAATTTAATATTAATAATAAGTAAGCCCTGACTAAATTATAGTGTTATCACTTGTAACCTGTAAGCTAATGTAGCAAAAGATGGATATAAAAGTTCATATGAGAATATTACAGATATATTTACTCACCTCAATTATCCGCAGGACCGCCAAGCTATCACTCAAAATATCCCGCGGCATTTCGGCCAGTATTATGGCACATCATTTAAAATAATACGCGATTAAATTTAAGGATTAATAATATGGCATTAAGTTAATGGCATTTATGATTACTTCACATTGTACACTCTGAAAGATAGTTATAGCAAGTTTAAATTAATGTGTATTAACAAACTTTGAACACAAATTTCAAGAAAATTAATTAATTAAATGATAAATTATCATCGTATAAGCACACAGTCTTATCAAATCAGATAGGTCAGATCTTAGACCAATAAAATGTACCCTGTGGCTTAAAGGGCTTAAAAGCAATGCCAGAGTCCATAAAATAAATATAATAAACTAATAAATCTACAAAGAAATAATACTTCAATTGAATCAAATTAAATTAGCACACCCCGAATCTACCCATATCGATTGTTGATACCTACATAAAAATACACTTTAAACTTTGGTTTATCCAAGTCGTTAAAATTATCTCAGCAATTCATCACATTACAAATTATGATTTATTCATTTTGTCACAGTAAAATAAATATCTTAGCTATATATCTTAGAAAATATAATCCAATAAAATGTTAAAAATAACAATTTTAGGATTGTCAATAACATATAAGCAAATATAATATATGGTTTTTTTAATTAACTGGCTTTACGGCTCTGGGATCTAGCCCTTCTGAGTCTAATTTAGCTTGCTACATATTTATTTATCTATGGCCTAAGTATATAAGCTTGCTACAGATTCTCCAATAGACACAGTAATCTACGAGATTCTCTAAGTCTTTGACATGGAGGCTAGAGAACTGGAGAACGATCGCCGTAGAAAATAGTGTCAGAAATATGGACACCATAAGTGAGGCACTGTGATTGCTTAATAAAAGTTATTTTCAGTCTATTTTTCCGATCAGATGCTAAACCACCTGCACATCCACGCACAATAAAATATTTCTCTATTTTTTAATGTTTCTTTTTGGTAAAAAATAAAAAAAATTGGAGCATGAAAATTTTCTCACCAATGCCGCGAAGAAAATTTGTACATTATTCAACTAACTTCATCTACTTGTACTCATAAACAGCTAACTTCGCAGCCACTACTCACCGACGGCAGCGCCGCTATAAATTCTACAAATATTCAAGGACAGGCGGGCTATGCTTTAGTACGTAGCGATCGTTCTCCTGTTCTCTAACCTCCATGGTATGGAGTGTATGGATAAGGAGTACAGACTCTGTATAAAAAAGTGTCCGTAGGAAAGCGTTAAATACTGGTGGCGCCACTGTAGCTACAGCCTAAATTCTAAAGAATCTTTTATAATTTTTTTAATACACAGACTTTCACCATAATTCTTTTTACAATAATTATTTTATTGCTTTCAAAATTTTTATTTTCAAAATCGCTCTCAACTTATTTACGGCGACTATTTCTAGGTTGTATTTACTAAATTATCTAAGACAAAGTAAGTAGTTGAGGTTTTAAATACTGCAGTTTCATCAAATACTCTAGTCACCACAAACATTCTCTACTTAGTACGTTTCACTCCGACAACTGTTAAGTTCATTTCATATCCTCTAGCTACTCGAGCGCTGTTGCGGAGAGTTTTGAACAGTTATTTACTGCTTACAAATGGACACATTTTCAACTATTCTCCTACTTTTTTTTCTCCTCTTTTTGTCCCCCTTTTGACTCTTGATGACGGGAGGAACACACCGCCGAACATCCCGCAGTGTGAGTGCTCCATGCCGGATGTGCTGTTTCCCTAACAGAGGAGTGCTCTGTGCACCAACCTAACCTCTCCCTGGACATCAACAGGTTGAGTAAGCCTGATGGCGTCCCTCCGATTGTGCTGAAGACGTGTGAAAAATGTAATCGCTCTGATCACCTCTTCGTTCTCAAAAATAATGGAATCCACTATTAACAGCCAGCTCATGCGGTACGTTGAGGATCACCAGATGATTAGTGACTACCAGTACGGTTTCCGTCGCGGTCGCTCGGCCGGTGATCCTCTGGGATATCTAACTCGTAAATAGGTGGAGGCAGTAGAGTCCAAGGGGGGAGGCGTTAAACGTTAGTTTGGACATAGCAAAGGCCTTCGATCGGGTTAAGCACAAAGCGTTTCTTACGAAGTTTGCTTCCTGTGGGCCTCCCGAGAAATTGTGCAGTAATTGGATCACCAGTTTTCTTGCTGATCGGAGCATCAAGGTCGTAGTAGACGGTGCATGCTCCGATTACAAGCCCATTAACGCTGGTGTTAATGGGCTTGTAATCAGAGCATGCAACCCACGGGACTGCGTGCTATCACCAACGCTGTTTCTTCTGCATATCAATGATATGTTGCAAACAGGTAAAATTCATTGCTATGCCGACGACAACACTGGTGAAGCTTTACACATATGCCGTGCCAATATTTCTCTCGAAAACGTTGCGGAGTACCGGGACAAGCTTGTGTCTGAAGTCGAGACTTTGTTGAACAAAATCTTGGACTGGAGGCGACTAAATCTAGTCTAGTTTAATCCCCCGAAGACACAAGTTAGGGAGTTTATCGATAAAAAGTACCCCTTCGCCGTATCTCCTCAGTTTCAAGGCACTCCCCTTGTTCGTTAGACAAGGGACAACACACGACGTTAGAGACACGAAAATCGGCATTAAAGTTATAAGTTTTCAATAATAAAATCCTGAATAAGCTGTTTTACGAAATCCTAACCCTAAGGGGGTGAAAGTGGGGTAAAATGGTTACATGTAAGTCCTATATTTTTAAAGTATAGATATGAAGATCGACATTTACTTTATTAGTTTTAAATAATAAATACTTGCATAGTTAAGCTTTACCTATATAGATTCTTTATACTTAGGTAAGACTTTTGCAGCGAGAAAATTTCAAAATCTCATAGGAAACCAGATATTGTACGCGGACGAAGTCGCTGGCGGCCGCTAGTTACATAATATATGTGTTATGTAATTGTGTGATAAATATATTTTTTCTTACCTGTCCACTTTTTCCGGTGGTTATTAAAAAGCTTGTGATATCTCCACTTTATTTTGGTTTTTCAGGAAGAAATATTTGTGATTCCTTTTTGTGGAAAGATATTAGATGTTTCCTTAAGCCTGAAGTGTTTCTGTTTTCCATTTTTATTTCAACCTTTTTATGTTGGCATAATTTACACAAAGCAATTTGGAATGCATGAATTATGTCGAAAAACTCATCAAATTTACTTTTAGGTCTTTTAGATCTATAACTCCAACTAGAACTATTCGACTCTTCGTCACTCATGTCAAATTGTAAACTTATGACTCCGAGAACAACAAGGATTGGAGTAAAAACAATTAATACATTAGACTCGAAGCAAAGCTCAATTGGGAATGACTGGAATTAATATAAATACTACTATTTGTAAGTACACGCCGAAAGACCGACAAATGAAAGTTCGGCATCCTTTGATAAAATTAATGATTCTTCAGAAGATTAATAAAGTAGATGCGTTGCCAGATAGGTATAGTGTGCCTACGTAAAAATGAAATGTAAATACGTAAATAAAATTGTGTATATTATGTTCTTCTTGTGATGGAATTAATTTACGTTAATTAAATTAAATTTGTCTTCACTCGTTTGAAATTTAAAATTCAAATATATTTTATTCAAGTGGGCATTAAAAATACACTTTTGAATAGTCATATAATCCCTGTTTTCCCCAATTTTTTCTTTTCCATGTCCAGGGGTTCTGATTCTACTGAGAAGAATCATGGAAGAAAGTAAAAAAACTCAGTAGTTGCTCTTTTCAAAATATTTTTACAATAGTTCTATAGTTATGTAAAGCGATAAGTCAAACATAAAATGTCAAATGTATATGTAGGTACCAAATCGGTTCAGAAATTTCTAGTTAGTCCTGTGTAGTACGAGAGGTCAGTTCCAAGCATTTTTGTCTGACTTAAATTGAAAAGGTGAAAGATCTAACATTTATTTTGGAATCTTATTATAAAAGCATATATCGCTACCCAAGAACGCATTATATACTTTGTGTAACCGGAAAGCAGGTATTGTGATTTTATTTTTATATCTAGTATTAAAATTATGCAAATCACTATTATTTACATCAATTCGATGCAATCAATTTCTTTAAACTGTTCTCTAAGAGATACTCGGGCTCCTAAAAAGTACATAGATCTTATTTTACGCTTTTTATTTAATATGCACACTTTTTATATTATTCGATTAGCATTGTACAAAATGTTTACACGTTTCAAGTGTGTTAAAAGTGTCTACAATATTTATCAAATGGGTGACGACATATTCGAACACTTTGTGTTCAAAAACACTCACTTTCAAAAATCGAGATTTGCAGTGAACTTATTGAACATGTTTATCTATTAGGTAATAATGATAATAGTAAGTAATTATTATAAACCCATATAGTTAATATTATAATAATTACTTACTAGAATAAATTATTATGGTATCTACCTATCTTTACCATTATCTAATTACAATATTCCTTGCGAGATCAGCATAATATATTCGTGTCCATTCTGAGCACCCGGAAACTTATTTTATTCTTTGGAACATGTACTCTGTGGCGGCATTCAAACAGTGTCAAATGTAGTGCGTGCGGCGCGGCGGCGACGATTGAATGCGATATCAATAGAAGCCGCCGGCGCGTGTATCTTGACCTTGTATTTCCGAATAGCTGCAAAATTTCTTTGACAGGTCAGTATTCGACCTTTGATGATGCCGATAACAAGACGCCGCGCACTATCAAAGTGCCGATGGTCAAAACTAGGGATGCACTGTTTTTTCTTTTAATGGATATTTTCATCCGCTATGTATGTTTATGGTATTGTTCGTAATGCGCATAAGTCCAATTTTCCAAATTTTTTTAATATATTTTTGCGTCTCATAGAGTCCCTTAGCGTATACCCGAACTCCTATAGTCCCTGAAACGACACTCATTCCTAACTGCAAGACGCAAGAGTCTCGCAGGCTTAGTCTTGTTCTTGCTCAAATCTTGCACGGTCAGTCTTGGTCTTGGTC